TACGTCCCCACTACCGCACTAAACGGCGGCGTTTCGTCTAAAAAACTCCCTCTCGTTGTCATCTTCCACGATGGAGCTTTCACCTCCGGCAGCGTCGACTGTCCAGTCTTCAACGCCCACTGCAACCTTATCGCGCGTGAGATCAACGTGGTCCTTGCGTCAGCTTCGTACCGGCTAGCTCCTAAGAACAAACTCCCGGGGGCTTACGACGACGGGGTGGAGGCGGTTGAGTGGATAAAAAACAACTCGGAAGAAGACGAGTGGCTCAAATCTTACGCCGATCTTTCTAACGTGTTCCTCATGGGGTTAGAAGCCGGTGGTAACGTGGCTTACAACGTCGGGCTTAGAATCACCGAGAAAGATCTAACTCCGTTAAGTATCCGTGGGTTGATCTTACAGAGTCCCTTCTTCAGCGTGGATGTCAACGACTATTACTGGATTCTTTGTCTCCCTGTCAGAGCTTACCGAGATCACGAGTATTCGAATCCGACGGTGGGAGCTGGGCCGGATAATATAAAGAAAATCGTACGGGTGATGGTGAGTGGAGGAGGAGGAGATCGGCTGATGGATAGGCAGAGAGAAGTGGTGAAGTTGATGAAGGAGAAGGGAGTTGATGTGGTTGCTGACGGCGACGATCTGGTTGCTTCCATCAGAAGTTTCATTTACTCTTCTGCACCGTAAAGGTTTTTTTATTTTTCTAAAAATAATTCCATAAAATAAAGAGGCCAGTCCCATATCTTATGCCTCATTTAAAGATTACCTTTTATGTATTGGTTTGTGGAAATTTTATAAATAAGAATAATATTGTAAGATGAATATTGGATGCTCTCTTTTGTTAGACATCTTTCGTTGTTTTCTCTTTTGGAACTTGGTATGGACATTTCTACACTCCAATGTTGTGGAAAGCTTGTTGAGTGGTTTAAATAGTGATTTTACTCAGGAGATCTGGTTTCGAGTTATAGGAAAAAGCAAACTATACAGAGTAATAATAGAAAAAAACTCGTATAGTTAGTTACAAAAAAAAAATCACTACTACTACTGATTTCTTGATGTGGCAAAATCTATTATTTGTTTTCTTCTTTTCTTCTTATGAATAACTCAATGGAAAATCTTTCTTTTCCCAATATTAGTTTTGTGTAATGTTAATGACGATAAAATTACTCATAAGTTACACTTTCTCCATAGATGAATGACCTCTCCCAAGCTATAATTGTACTTAGATTATCCATTTCAACTGTGGTAAAATGCTAAACTGGTCAGCAGAATGCATGTGAAATTCATGTAATCTAGAAGATGTGTACATAATTTATCTGGTAAGTTTGAACTAGTCATAGAAAACAAAACGTGACGTACGTTAACATTTTAATTATAGTACATTAACATTTTATTTTAAATATCCATATGTCCAAGGCTTTTAATTATAGTACATTAACATTTTATTTTCCTTATGTTTGCCCGATATATGATTTTCCAAACTTCAAATTAGTTTTGTGCATTACATTTTTTGCAACTTCTCAACCAACGAAAGAGACGTGACAGCCACTTGTGAACCAAGAAGTTCTTTTGTTTTGTAATTAGTCTCATTGTTTCTCCACCTGAATTGCATTACAATCTTTCATCAAGTAAACTATGTTCATATCGTCTGAATCAGAGAAATTATTCCATTGCTACAATCTTTCATCAAGTTAAATGAATCTAATGGTCAAATTTTGATTTATTGTCTTTATGTTTGCTTGATATATGTTTGCGACTTCTCAACCACCAACGAAAGAGACGTGATAGCTACTTGTGTACCAGTAATGATCTCTTGTTTTAGTGCACAAAAGGAGAAAACACAAAGGACTAAGTTTTCTCCTGTTGCAATGTCATTATCGTTGTTTCCTGTAGTTAAATCTCATTCATTGTTTTGCATTACAATATTTTCAGCAAGTAATTGAGTTAAATCATTCACATCAAATATAAAACTATATCAGTATTAACGTAAAACTAGGATCTGTTCTGTTGTTAGTTTACATTTTAACAAAAGGAAAACAGTTTGTGTTATAAAGTAAAGTTCTTTCTCAAAAATAAAACCAATTTATTGACTGTAATTTTTTTTGGTAGCAATTTATTGACTGTAATTAACATTCGAAAGAGTTTTCTCTCAACCAAAATCCAATATTTATATTAATTAAGAAACAACGAATTCAATTAGGTAATTTTGGGACCTACTAAAAATATCTTAGTGGTCTATGCACATTTAATGATTACCTTAATGTCGTTTTCTCTTCTGGAACTTGACATCGCCTATTTAGTGGTCTAAATAAGAGTTTATGTACTCAGTTGATCGTTCCAAGTTTTAGAGAAGGCATAGTCTACAGATTAATGAATTTAATATTAATATAAATTATTCAGCATAGTACAAAGAGTATTGTCAAGCATATATTACTTGAATCCTCACAACACATACAATTCTCAATTCTAAAATAATATTCTACATATTAATGGAAAAAGATTTATAATAATTATTTAGCATAATACCAAAAGTATTGTTAAAAATGATGAATTTAAAAAAAAAACAGTTTAGAGTAGTGCAGTTATATTTTTTTTGGAAACCAGATTATATTCTCTTATTACAAGTGTGTGAGGATTACTATCACAAAATAATATCACAAATGATTATCTCACACGATGTGATGATAAATATGTAAACATAATGTATTATATTGAACGAGTTGCATAAACATTCTAGAGCGAGAACCAGCACCAAGAAGATTTGGTTGCGCTGGTGGCCAAGGCGCAAATTGGTTTGGTCGTGGATAAGGTTGGATAGATTTGGTTGTGGTGGCGGTGGTGGCAGAAACCAGAGATGGTTTAAACTCTAAACCAATGATCAAAACTCCTATAGTTAGTTACAAAAAAAAATTCACTACTACTACTACTACTGCTGCTTTCTTGATGTGGAAACTCTATTATTTGTTTCTTTTCTTCTTATGAATATCTCAAAGGAAAATCTTTTGCTTTTCAAATATCAGTTTTGTGTAATGTTAATGACGATAAAATTATTCATCAGTTATACTTTCTCCATAGATGAATGACCTCTCCTAAGCTATAATTGTACTTTAGATTCTCCATTTCAACTGTGGTAAAAATGTAAACTGATCAGCAGAATGCATGTGAAATTCATGTAATAGATTGTAATATAATTACGAAAAGAGACAAAGAATTCATTTTTTTATAAGCTATAGGCTAACTGAAGGGTTTTAAATATAGCTTGTATTTTCATTTCTTTTTTTTTTTGAAAGCCAGATTGTATTCTGTGTAAGGATTACAATCATAAAATAATATCATAAATGATTACCTCACAAGATTTGATGATAAATATGTAAACATATATAATGTATTATATTGAAGGAATTGCATAAACTTTCTAGAGCGATAATTAGCAATGGTAAGCAGAATGCTTGTGAACTTAATGTGATCCTATCTCGAGAATGTGAATATAATTTATCTTGCAAGTTTGGACTAGTCATTGAAACAAAAGTTACTTACCTAACGTTTATGTATTTTTGCAACTTCTCTGTCTTTTTAGTATAGATGGTAATTCTTCTGTTACATATGCATCTAAGGTTTTTAGTTATAGTACATTAACGTTTTATTATTACGTTTTTCTAATATATGATTTTTCTTAAACTTTAAATTAGTTTTTCCATCAAATTTTCTACCACTTCTTGTCAATCAATGAAAGCGAGTTGTGAACCAAGAAAATTCTTTTGTTTTAGTGCATAAAAAGAGAAAGCACAAAGAACTAGGTTTTCTCCCTTGAAATGTCATTGTTGTTTCTTCAGTTAGTTTCGTTGTTTCTCCACTTGAGTTGCATTGAGTTAAATCATTCACATCAATATAAAAATTATTTCACTGTTAACGTAAAACTACGATCTGTTGTTATTTTTCATTTTAACAAAAAGAAAACATTTTATTGACTCTAACTAACTATCAAAAGAGTTCTTTTCTCAACCCAAATCCAATTTTTACAATAATTATGAAAAAGTTATCTTTATTATGCAAAGTTATATCACTATTAATGTTTATATTAATAAATAACAAATAACTGATTAGTTCCTTAATTTTAGTGTTAATATAAATTGAATTGGTTAGTTTCCAAAAATAATTGATTAGTTTCTTAATTTTAGAGTTTATTTACACAAGTTTAATAACGTAAGATTTGCTTAATAGACCACTTATGTAAGGGTTTCCAAGTTCCATAACAATTTCAGTTTTATTGTTTAAAAAGTAAATTTACATGAGAGTAAATGCACATGTACATGTTCAAGATCAGAGTCATAAGTGAAAATAGATATGTTCATACATTTTGCATGCTATTGGCGTTGTATTTGGTGCAGAGCCATGGATATTATTTTGTGGCTAAGCCTCTTACAGAAAACATACAACTATTAAAAATAAAGATTTAGCATAGTATCAAATTTTGCTTTGTATTAAACAGACTCATCATTATTATTATTTTAATAAATGCTAGTATTAAGAATGTTAGTTAAATCTAATGGTCAAACTTTGATAGTGTGTAAGTAGATAGAAAAATGCTCATGTGTCTAATAGTATTGATAAATAATTAGTATAATAATTACATAAATTAGCACTATAAAAGGGGACAAGAGTCAAGTATCAGTTTCATACACAACAGAAGACTTTAAACCCCAAAAAGACAACAGATATGTCTGAATCATTTCAAGCCTCTGAAATTGACGCTGGACTCGCTAGTCTAGGCATCACAAAGAATCCAGATGGCACCTTCACTCGCGACCCCACCAGATTCCCCTACGACGGCGTCCCAGCCACACCTCACGCCGCTTATCCAAAGACATTACCGTGAAAAAAACTCCACACCACACCACACGGATACGTCTCTACGTCCCCACAACGGGACAAAACGGCGGCGTTTGGTCTAAAAAACTCCCTCTCGTTGTCTACTACCACGCTGGAGGATTCATCACCCAAGGCATTGACCTCAAACCAGTCCACGACTCCTGCAACCTAATGGCCCGTGAGCTCAACGTGGTCGTCGCGTCAGCTTCGTACCGGGTAGCTCCCGAGTTTAGACTCCCCGCAGCGTACGAAGACGGTGTGGACGCGGTTGAGTGGCTAAGTAACTCCTCCGAAGACGACGAGTGGATCAAATCTTACGCAGATCTTTCTAACGTGCTCCTCGTTGGGACAAACTCTGGTGGTAACGTGGCTTACAACGTCGGGGTTAGACTCACCTTCAGGAACCTAACACCGTTACGTATACGTGGGTTGATCTTGCACGAACCCTTCTTTGGGGGGGAAAAGCGGTGCGAGTCTGAGCTCAGACACGTGAACGGTCAGGCTGTCAGAGACTTTTACTGGAAGCTTTGTCTCCCTGAGGGAGCTAGCAGAGATCACAAGTATTCAAATCCGACGGTGGGAGATGGACCTGATGATATGGAGAAAATCGGAGGGATGAGATGGAAGGTGATAGTGACTGGAGAAGGAGGACGTGCGTTGATAGATAGGCAGAGAGATGTGGCGAAGTTGTTGAAGGAGAAGGGTGTTGATGTGGTGGAGCGTTTTACCGACGATGGAGATGGTAACAATGCTGAGCTCGGTGATCACTCCAGGGCTCAAACTCTGTTTGCTTCCATCAGAAGTCTCATTCACTCTTGTGCACCGTAAAGGTTTAAAAAAAAAAGAAAAAAAAATCCATAAAATAAAGGCTAGTCTCATATCTTATGCCCATTTAAGGATTACCTTTATGTATTGGTTAGTGAAAAATTTATAAATAAGAAAAATATTGTTAGATATATATATCTCTCGATTTCTCTTCTGGAACTTGGCATTGACAGAAATCTTCTCCAATGTTGTGAATGGCCTGTTTAGTGTTTATTTATGATTGTACTCGGTTGATTGTTCCAAGTTTTACATAAGGGAAAATTATAGATTAATTGAAGGATTTTAAATATAGATTGTATTCTTTTTTTCTTTTCTTTTGACAACCAGATTGTGTATTCTCTTATTAATTGTGTTAGGATTACAATCTTAAAATGATATCACAAATGATTAGATTACCTCACACGATTTGATGATAAATATGTAAACATAATGTATTATATTTAAGGAGTAGCATAAAGAAGATTTAATTTGGTTGCGCCAGTGGCCAAGGCGGAAATTGGTTTGGTCGTAGATTTGGTTGTGGTGGTGGTGGTGGCAGAGACCAGAGATGGTGAAAACTCTTAACTAATGATCAAAGCTCTCTATAATTTCACTACCACTACTGCTTTCTTGCTGTGACAAAATCTGTAACTTTTTTTCTTCTTATGAATAACTCAAGGGAAAATCTTTTGTTTTTCCAATATCAGTTTTGTGTAATTTGAACTATAATGATGATAAAATTATTAATTCATCATTTATACTTTCTTCTAGTGAATGGTCTTTCATAGGGTATAATTATAGTTAAACTGCTATCCATTTCAACTTTGGTCAAAGAGTAAACGGATCAACAGAATGTTTGTGAAATTGATGTGATCTGGAAGATGTGACATAATTTATTTTGCAAGTTTGGACTAGTCACTGAAAGACAAAAATTACTTACCTAAGGTTATGTATTTTTGCAACTTATATATTCTTTTTAGTATAGCTGGTAATTCTTTTGTGTGTTTGAATTTAAAAACACAATTCTAAAATCTAATGCTTTATTAATTATGTTCCTCCTGATATATGATTTGCCAAATTTCAAATTAGTTTTGGTATTGAATTTTATGCGACTTCTCAACGAATGAAAAAGATGTGACAACAACAAAAGATCTCTTATGTTAGTGCACAAAAAGAGAAAGTACAGAAGACTTCTTCCCTTAGCAATGTCATTGTCGTTGGTCATGTAGTTAGTCTCATTCTTTCCTTTTATCAAGTAAATTGTGTTAAATCATTCACATTAGTTCATCCTTTCTCTAATTCAGTTACATTACAATATTTCATCAAGTAACTTGTGTTAAATCATTCACATAAAATATAAAAATAATATCAGGGTTAACGTTAAACTATAATCTGTTATGTTGTTAGTTTGCATTTTAACAAAAAGTAAATATTTTGTTGACTGTAACTAACTTTCAAACGAGTTCTATCTTAACCGAATTCCATTTTTTTTATAATATAATTACAAAAACAAATAATTCATTTAAGTAACTTTTGGACCCACTAAACAAAAACAAAGTATTAGACTATTGCTCAAGCTTTTCAAGTAAAAAAAAGGAAGTCAATGTTTACACGGTAATTCTAAATATAATTTTTAGATATACTCATGCTTTCAAAATAAAGTAATTTCACATATATGACCCAAAAAAAGAAGTAATTTCACATATTTATTTACTAATATATTTTTGCCTATAAAAGCGGACAAGACTGAAGAATCAGTTTCATACAACAAAAACAGAAGACTTTGAATCCAAAAGACAATAATCAAAATTCTTTATAGTTTCACTACCATTACTGCTTTTTGGCTGTACCAAAATTTGTAATTTGTTTTCTTCTTATGGATAGCTCAAGGGAGACTCTTTTGTTTTTCCACTATCAGTTTTGTGTAATTTGAATTATAATGGTGATAAAATTATTACTTCATCAGTTCCACTTTTTTTCTTAGTGAATGATCTTACATATGGTATGTTTATAGTTAAAATGGTGTCCATATCAACAAGGTTAAAACGGTAAAATGATCAGCAAAATGCTTGTGAAATTAATGTGATCCTATCTGATGAATGTGAACATAATTTATCTTGTAAGTTTGGACTAGCCATTGAAAGACAAAAGTTATGTTACTTACCTAACGTTTATGTATTTTTGCAACTTCTCTATCTTTTTTAGTATAGATGGTAATTCTTCTGTCTATAAATATGCATAAATCTAAGGTTTTTAATTATAGTACATTAACATTTTATTAGCACGTTTTCCTAATATATGATTTTGCCAAACTTCAAACTAGTTTTGCCATTGAATTTTCTATGACTTATTCTCAACTAATGAAAACGACTTGTGAACCAAGAAAAATCTCTTGTTTTAGTGCACAAAAAGAGAAAGTACAGATAACTAAGTTTTCTCCTTTGCAATATCATTATTGTTTTCTGCAGTTAGTCTCGTTCTTTCTCCTTTTGAGTTGCATTACAATATTTTTTTTCAAGTAAATTGAGTTGAATCATCCGCATCAAATATAAAAATTAGTGTTAACGTCGAGCTGTTGTTAGTTTTCATTTTAACTAAGAGAAAAGTGTCTTTTTTCTCAACCCAAATCCATTTTTTACAATAATCACAAAAACAATAAATTTAATAAAGTAATTTTCGGACCCACTAAACAAAATATTAGACCATCATTCAAGCCTTCCAAGCACTAAAGTAAAAATTTACACGGTAACTCGTAATATAAATTTCATATATACATATATTCAAGCTTTTCAAGATAAAATAAATTCAAATATTTAATTACTAATATATATATTTGCCTATAAAAGCAGACAAGACAGAAGAATCAGTTTCATACACATCAGAAGAGTTTGAATATGTCGGAACCATCTCCACTCTCTGATTCTGACGCTAGCATGAGGAACTAAGATGGCTCCATCACTCGCTACCCCACCAGATTCAAAGACATCATCGTGAAAAACAACTCCATGTTGATGCGTCTCCACGTCCCCACAGCCGTACTAAACGCCGACGTTTCATCTCAAAACATGGACGGAGCCGGTTATAGATATACCAATATAAAAACATTAGCTTATTATCCCTAATATATTACTGATTAATCACTTAGTCCCTAAATGATTAAGGAAATTATATTTTTATTAGTTGTTTCAAACCTTACACATCTTATAGTCAGCCCTGCATGGACATTTACTTATGTGGAAATGTTCAATTGATGTTCCATACTTCGACGAATACGGGCATACAGATGCTCCTTTGGAGACATTTACTTAGAGTTTTCACCATCTCTGGTCTCTGGCACCACCACCACCACCACAACCAAAAATCTACCCTCACCTCCTCCACAACCAAACCAGTTTCCGCCTTCAATTAACCAAAAGCTAATTATACAAGTAAACGGTCTCCAAAGGAGCATCCATTTTCCTTTGGTTTGTCCAAGTGTGGAACATTGGAGAACTCTCCATAAATGATAAGAACATTATTCTAAAATTGAAAAAATTTACATGTCTTATAAGGATTTAAGTAGAACTGTATTACTCTAAACTGTTTCATGAGATTCATATCTATTATTTAACAATACTCTCTGTATTATGCTGAATAATTGTTATAAAACTTTTCCATTAATATATATAATTTGCCTTATGATAAACTTGGAACGAGCCTCTTGTTTAACAAAAAATTTACATGTCTTATAAGGATTTAAATGATAATCAACTGAGTAAAATCATAAATAAACTGTTATTTAGACTTCTAAACAAAACTGAGAGATGTTTAACAAAAGAGAGAGCGAGCCTCTTGGGTCTCCAAAATTATTCTTAATTATCATTTTTTTATGGAATTTTTTTACGCCCACAGAATTTAACCGTGAATGAAATCTGTGAAGGAATGAGACAGACTTTCACCCTTGAAGATAAAACGCTCAAACACATCAACTCCCTTCTCCTTAAACAAATTCGCCACATTTCTCTGCCTCTCTATCAGCAGTTCTCCTCTTACTCCAGTCACCATCACCTTCCATCCCAACCGTCTGATTTTCTCCATATTATCCGGTCCATCTCCCACCGTCGGATTCGAATACTGGTGATCCCTGTCTTCTCCGTCAGGGAGACAAAGATTCCAGCATATGTCTGCATCCAGCTTGTTCTCGTGACTGACCTCAGAGGCGCACCGCTCTTCGCCGTCGAAGAAGGGATCGTGTAAGATCAATCCACGGATACATAACGGAGTTATATCTTGCTCGGTGGATCTAAGCCCGACGTTGTAAGCCACGTTACCACCAGAGTTTGTCCCCATGAGGAAAACATTAGAAAGATCTGCGTAAGATTTGATCCACTCCTTGTCTGGTGAGTATTTGATCCATTTCAGAGCATCCTCTCCGTCGTCATAAGCCGCAGGGAGTTTAAACTCGGGAGCTTGCCGGTACGAAGCTGACGCGACGACCACGTTGCTCTCACGCGCCAGACGGTTGCAGAAGTCGTGGGTGTGTTCGAGGTCGAAGCTGCCGCAGATGAATCTTCCACCGTGGAAGTAGACAACGAGAGGGAGATTTTTTGACGAACCGTTTAGTGCGGTAGTGGGGACGTAGAGACGCATGCATGTTGACTTTGAGTAGTTCACCCTAAAGTCTTTGGATACAACAGCGTCAGGTGTGGCTGGGACGCGGTCGCCAGGGGAGTTAATGGGGTCGCGAGTGAAGGTGTTATCTTTTTGATTCTTTATGATGCCTAATTCACGGTAAATAACAAAGGCTTGAGATGATTTAGACATATCTGTTGTCTTTTTTTTTTTTTGGGTTCGAAGTGTTATGTTGTTGTTGTTGTATGAAGTTCATTCTTCAGTCTTGTCCCCTTTTATAGTGCTAATTTATGCAATATGGGGTATTAATTATTTATCAATATTATTAAACACGGAAGCATTTTTCTATCTACTTACACAATATCAAAGTTTGACCATTAGATTTAACCAACATTCTTAAATATTAGCATTTATTTAAAAAAAAAAATACAATTAAGTTATATACCTAACTGAATTCACTATTTTCGTAATTAATATAGGCAATACTATATTAATAATTAAATATTTGAATTTCTTTTATCTTGAAAAGCTTGAATAATATTCTACTATTTTTTCTAGCTGGTCCTAAGATTACCTAAAATTGGATTTGGGTTGAGGAAGAAAAAAAAACTCATTTGAAGGTTAATAACAGTCAATGAAATGTTTACTTTTTTTTTTTGTTAAAATGCATACTAACAACAGAACATATCATAGTTTTACGTTATCATTTTTATATATGATGTGAATGATTTAACACAATTTACTTGATGAAATTTTGTAATGTAACTGAATTGGAGAAAGAACGAGACTAATGTGAATGATTTAACACAATTTATTTGATCAAATATTGTAGTGTAACTGAATTAAAGAAAGAGTGAGACTAACTACAAGTCTACAATGATATTTTGAGGGGAGAAAACTTAATTAGTCCTGGGTACTTTCTCTTTTTGTGCACTAGTGTAACTGAATCAAAGAAAGGACGAGACTAACTACAGAGCCAACAACAATGAACATTGCAAGGAGAGAAAACTTAATCCGCTGTGCTTTCTTCTTTTGTACAAGAGAGCTTTTCCGGTAAACAAGTTGCTGTCACATCTCTTTCGTTGGTTGTGAAGTCACAGAAAATTCAATGCACAAAACTAATTTAAAGTTTGGCAAATCATATATCAGCCAAACATAAAGATAATAAAGCGTTAATGTGCTATAATTAAAAGCCTTAGATTTACGCGAACATATATAGAATTGTGTTTATAAATTCAAGCACAAAAGAATTACGAGCTATACTGAAAAAATAGAGAAATTGCAAAAAATACATAGACGTAAGTCACTTTTGGTTTTCTATGACTAGGTCATACTTGCCAGACAAATTATTCCTCCAGGTCAAATCAGTTTCACAAATATTCTGCCGATTACTGTTTTACCACAGTTGATATGGATAGCATTTTAACTATAATTCTAAAAATCAGTTCAAAAAAAAAAAATACTATAATTCTACCATATGAAAGATCATTCACTAAGAAAAAAAGTATAACTAATGAATTAATAATTTTATCATCATTATAGTTCAAATTACACAAAACTAATATTGGAAAAACACAAGATTTTCCCTTAAGACTATGCACATTGGTTTACACATTCAACACCCTCCACTAGGGCTGGGCATTTTATTCGTTAAATTTGATTCGATTCGTTATTCGTCTCGATTCGATCCGAAAATTCCGGATATCCGTAAACTTTCGAATCAAAGCAAATACGAAAAATCAATATCCGTTAAAATCGAAGCAAATCACAAATATTAAAATTTTAGGAAGCGGATATCCGATCCGATCCGGAAATATATAAATATATGTATATTTTGATTATATTTAAAATTTTAAATGTATAAAATTATTATTATAGCTTATGATTTAACTAATTAGATTCACATTATTACTTATATAAAATTATTAGATAAAAAGAAGAGCAAAATTATGAAAATTATAAAAAAAAATCTTAAGTTTTGTGTTATTATAGTTGTTAACTTAAACATAAAAATTATAAAATATGTAAATTCACTACTTCTTTATTTTTTATTTTATATATCATGTAAAAAAAATTTAAAAAATAAATTTATATAAGATTATTTGTAATGGATGAGATATTCGTAAGTATTCGTAAATATCCGCAAATATCTGTTTATTTTCCGGATATCCGTTTTTCCGGATATCCGTATTTTTTCGAAGCAAAGCAAATACCAAAATCAGATATCCGTAACATACGAAGCAAATCACAAATACGTTCGAAAACCCGGATATCCGATCCGTGCCCACCCCTACCCTCCACATCATTTCATCTATCTTTCAAATCATTGTATCTCTCTTCTAACTAATAATTTAACACTCACTTACAATGTTTGGTTGAATTTTATTCAACAAATTGTTTCATTAATAATTTTATTTTCTTATATGTTTTTAATATATATATATATATATATATTTTTAAAAAAATATTGAAGGAAATCAAATTACAAAATTTGAGAATCAAATAAATTTTTAAAATAATTTTTATATTTTTATTTTTTGCATTTAATATAAAATAAAATATTAAAGACGAAAAATAGAGACTTTATTAAAATCAATAAAATTACGAGAAAATAAGACAAAAAATAAACAGAGATTTTATCTGATTTTGGGTTTTAAAAAGATTATCACTGAGATTCAGTTCACTTGGAAAGAAAGAAAATATTAAAGCAACAGTTTTTTGTAGACTAATAGAAAACTTATAGTAAAAAGAGATGAATTTTTTATGTGTCCAAATCAAATGAAACAAATCTCTATTTATAGAGAATAAAAAGTGAATTTTTGATGTGCAAATATTTTTTTAAAAATAAAAATTTAAGAGATAATTAATTTCAAATAATGGAGAAGAAAAAGAACAAATTATAAATTTCACTTATCAATGTTTCAGTGATAAGTGGCTTTTGGGGAATTTTCTTTGTCTCATCCTCAACGATTAACAATGTTGAATTCTTTCAACTTTATTGAGTCTACTTCCCACTCAATTTATTTTTCAATATCTACTGCACAGTTTCAACTATTGAATTACAAAATTTAATAGGCCATTGTAGTCTAAGAAGAAAAGAAGAAAACAAGTTACAGATTTTATCACAGGAAGAAAGCAGTAGTGGTAGTGAAACTATAGATTTATGTTATTATCCTCTCAAGCTTGAGAAATATTAGTCATGTCTATTTTAGTGGGGTTTAACGCATTCTTTTTATTTTGATTATCAGGCCAGAACTTTGGATTGGAGATTTGATAAGGGAACTCGGAATGTGATTTTTATGTTTATATTTTCTTCAATTTAGTTTAGGTTGGTTCAACGTTTTCCTATTATTTCGATTCTCAGGCTAGAACAATGGATGTGAGGGTGAGTGGATCCACATGGAGATCAAGATCCAAATCAGAAGCAAGAATTTAGGCGAATAGAGTTTTTAAAAAGGGCATCTAAAAATGCAGAGTTAGAGCTATTGAAGACTTGAAGAAGGCTAAACTGAGAGCTACTTTTGATGTAAGCAGCAGATGGAGGAACCCAGCGCAGAAGGCTTTGAAGTAGTAGTCAAGTTCTCAAGCGATCCTCAAAAGTTTTTTAGAGATGCAGTGGTCGAGATGATCATGGAGAATGGTATCAAGCACTAGGAAGAACTCTAAGTGGTTCACATTTGTTCTCTCAGACTCACAATCGATGAATATCATGACAACATGAACATCAATGAGTTTCAGCAGGTGCACACTGATTTAATTTCCATTAATTGCGGTTAATCCCATCTTTTCTGTAAGGCGAAAACGTTAAATCTCTTGACAGCATTGTGGACACGTCAAAGATATGAGAAGAAATCAAAGTGCGTGCAATCTTTACAAGGGGAACGTTTTAGGATCATTATCAGTTTACACTCAAATCATAGATATTGGTTAAATATTAACTATTTTTACTAATATCGGTAGAATTAAGTAAATAACTCCATTGTATGAGTCAAACTAATTTTGTTATGATTTCACAATGTCTCAAATTTCAAACACTAAAAAATATGCGCTAATCTGTAAACACAGTTTTACAAGTAATAAAGTGGTAAAACACGGAGAGAGAGAGAGAGATTCTCTCTAGTGTCTCTCCCATATCTTTCAAAACCCTAGCGCCGCCGTCTCTTGCTTCCAGTTCCGGTGGAGGAGCTCGACGGTAACCTTACCGTGCGAGTCTCCTTCACCACCCCCACCCTTCTCTGTTCCAATCCTCTCCCTGCAAAGTTACGGCCACCTCACCTCCTCCTTGCTCCTCCTTCTCTGGTTTTCGCCTGATTGTGGCCAGATCCGGCGACCAAATCGACGTCTGGGTGTGTCCCCAATGTCTCTGGAGAGAGGGCGAGGTCGTGATTGTCCGGAAGCTTCCAGGAGGCGCCATCGGCTTGGTAGATCTTGGGTATGTCTTGCGCTGGTTCTGGGTCAGATCCGCCACGGAGGCTTGCCGGAATGAAGGGCGTCGCTGCCTCTTTCCCCTCTGGCCTATGCCTCCTCTGCTTTCCCATGTCTCCTCCGTCGGTTGCTCGAATTAGAGTTTTCCCGTCTTGTTCCCACGGTCCGAGACAAAATGACGAGTCTGAGGATCTCGTTGGGGACCTCTTCCTTAGTTCAAGTGACAACATCCATGGCTTCCAATGGTGGTTGTTTGGCTCCTCCTTCTTGCTACCAACATCGTCTGCTAGGGTTTTGAGGACAATCCGATGCGGCGATTCTTTTGCATATTGGTGGAGTTCTTTATCGCCTGTTGGGACGTCTGTTTTCAAGGAGCTTTAGACCTTCTTCCGTGCTTCATACCCTTGTTTCCAAAGCTCCGACAGTTGACTTAGTGATCCCTCATGGTTTCTGCTGTATCTTATGTGTCGCGTGAGTGGTTGTGGAGCCTGTTGTACCACTTACGCTTGACCGTAACCCGAGCTTCTGTGTAAGCAGCGTCGTTATGGACGAGATCTTTTGTCTTTTGTCGAGATAGCTAAGGATTGGCTGGTCGACGTCCTCCTCCAGCGGAGCTCCGGGGCGTAAGCCAGGCGCCTCTGTGATGCCTGCTAGGAGCCACTTCGGTGAGTTCTCGACTGTACTTCTCCTGGATATACTCTTGCTTCATCTGGTTTACTCTGGTAGAACAAGAAGTGTTTTGGATAGGGTGCTACATTGTTGTTTTACTTGATCTTACCTTATTAACTTCAAGCTCTTTCTTGTTAGAAGCTTGGACTTAATCTCCTAGTATCTTAGAGGTTTTTTTAAACTTTTTGCAGCCTCTTAGATGCAAAATTGCTGTGTAAGCAAATTGTGGATGCAATTCACTTTGTACCCAAACTATCATTTTCATTAATGAGATTTACAATTTAGCAAAAAAAAGTAATAAAGTGGTAAACGATGAACGGCAAACCCATATGAAAATCGAATATAAGAAAATGTAGAATTCAAACTATAAAGAATTCTGTGTTTTTAGCAAATAGATGACTTGTTAAAAAAATCCCAGTAGTGTGTAACTTATTTAGAAAATTTATATTTCTTTATATTTAAACATTGGCTGAATCCAAAAAATTGCAGATTAACCATTGACTATTAATTCTGTGATTTTTTTTCGTAACAGATAAAACATGCAACATAAATTCAAAAGAAATTCAAATTCTCAAAAATTGCCTTTAAGCAAAAGCAAATGCTTCTTAAATCTTTGGATCTAGTATCAAATTATTTGTTCGACTTTAGTTATTATATTCCAAATATAATGAAGATAAAAGCCCTTTATCAAAAAAAAAAATATAATGAAGATAAACTATTAATTACGTTATACATAACTTTTTCGTTTGCACAAGGAAATGGGTTAATCTTAGAAATAAGATGCATACAAAACAAAACAAAAATATTCAGTAATCATTTATTATTTTTTATCTAAAATTTAATTTAATGTAAAATGTGATAAATTAACTTTTCTCTGAGGATAAAAATATTCAAGATGTACACTGCGAGACTAAATAATTAACATCAAATTTATTAAAAAAATTTCTACCTTCTAAAATAACTAACAATATGTTTTATAAAAATCAAACACACCGCGCGAAGCGCGGTCAACCACTAGTTATATATATAAAAAAATACTTTAAAAATAAAATATTGTATAATAAATATAATTATTTTTGTTATTATCTTTATTATACAATGTTTTTATTTTCAAAGTATGCTGTTTATATATATATATATATATATATATATATAATTTAACGATTATTATAAATTATTATGTATAACTATTATTTATGAAATATAAATAAAATAATCTATTAAATTAATTGATTTGTTATTAATTGAAATTTTGTATAGTATCTAAATCTGCAGAGATAATTTCTATTTTTTTCTTGTTTTTTAAAATTTATTTAATTTTTAAATTATTTAATTTATCAAAATAATTTAGAAGAAATTTGTTAAAAAGTTGTTAAACAATGAGAGCTAATATTTTATATTGTTTGAACACAAGATTAATTATAGTATTTTTTAGAAACATAGATAACAATATAAATAAAAGAGTATTAATGATTTAAGATATGTTTAATTATAAAGTATAAATATGTATTTAATTTAAAAACTTACAAAACAAAAGTTTAGATTCAAAGTATGATTTTTTTTTTTAATAAGATACTAGAGTTTGCCCCGCATGACCGTGCGGGTGTTTGTTTTCATTTTTTATAGATATATATATATATATATATAATTATTTATATTATTTTCAAATATCTAAATTTTATAATTTGTTTTATTCAATTAATTATTTCATAATCTCATGTATTTGTTGCTTATTATTATATATATATATATATATTATTGGATTTGTGTTTAGTTATTTGACAAACTAATATATGCAAAGTTCCAAAATTTTGAAATTATTTTATATTTACTTTTTTATTATTAAAACTAACAAAAAAAAATCTAATTTCAAATTAAGTTATAAGTAGTAGAGAGAAAATAATTATTGTTTAGTAATTTTTTAAATTTTATGACAATTGAAAATATTCATATACACTAATCTTTAAGCATTTAGTATTTGATATATATGGAAATGATAAAATAAGCTATTGAATATAAAATATAATTTGATTTTTGTTTTAATATATTAGATTTGAACCTATATTATTAGAACATATATTTTTATGTAATTGAAATTCAAACATATATAAATTTAAATTGGCATTTACGTAATTTTTATCTATTAAAACAATATACATCTTATAAATGAGTCAATATATTATGTCAATATATTATGTCAATATAAAATGGATCACCACTAATTAGTAATTCAATTATCTTATTCTCAAAAGTCAAAATTATATGAACTTCTTTTTGGAAAAAACATATGCACGTTTCTCAATCTGACAAAGACTTTAACTTTTTTTTAAAAAAAACCTTATCGAACACTTTTCTCTGCCAATATTATAAATGTGTAATTTTTATATAATCGTAAGCATTTTAAATATATGATTTATATTTAATGGTATATATAATGTAATTCTATTATTTATTTATTTAATATTATTAATATATAAAGATTTTTTCTACTTTTTTACTTGTTATAAATTGTTATTACATAATAATATAAATTCAAATTCGGTGCAATAAATTAATAATTTGAAATAATCAAATAGATAAACCCCTTCAAAGTATATAGTTTTGATTTCTACATTTTGCATGCAAAATATTTTTAAAATTTATTTAGTTATACAATAGAATAGATATTTGTGTAGGATCATTTATATTTCCTGGTTGTGTCTGACAATATAATTTATCATCTATAATTTTAGTATATGGAAGGATTTTACAAATAAATATATTGCTATATTGAAATACTTTAGACTTATTATTTTAGTAAGTTTTATACATGGTTTATGTTAAACTCCTTTTAATGGTGAATCATATTTTTAAAAAATAAAATAAGTTAATTTATTAATTTTATATATTTTTAATAAATAGTTCATATAGTACTTTTATTTTAGTATTATATATACTATAAATAGAAAGTTTATGAAAATATCATACTTTATATATAAAATTGTAATTAACATTGATTTGAATAAAATTATAGTACTAATTACGAAATTAATTAATGCATTATTATAGAAATATATTTAAATTGTTTTGTAAGATTTTGTTAGATTCTTTCAACATAATTTATATAGTTAAAAATAAATTTAAAACAAATTTATAGGTGAACTTGTTATATATGTTGATTATATAAGATGTTATATCTTAATATGCTAATAACATGAGAATAAAATCAAATATGATATCCTAGAAAAAGGTTCATTTTTAGAAAAAATATTTACATATAAATGGAAATTGTGACTTCTATTTTAATATAATAGATTTTATAGGTGAAACTGCTATATGTGTTGATCATATAAGACGTTATATCTTAATATGCTATTAAGTTAATGAGAATAAAATCAAATATGATATCCTAGAAAAGGTTCATTTTTAGAAAAATATTATACATGAATGGAAGTTGTGACTTATATTTTAACAGAATAGATTAATTAGTATAATATGGCACAAATTAGCACTATAAAATGGGACAAGAGTGAAGAAGTATCAGTTTCATACACAACAGAAGACTCTGAACCCAAAAAAGACAACAACAGATATGTCTGAATCATCTCAAGCCTCTGACCCTTACGCTCTTCTAGGCATAGTAAGGAATCCAGATGGCACCATCACTTTCGACCGAACGAAATTCCCCCGCGTCCCACCCACACCTGACGCCGTTGTATCCAAAGACTTTAGGGTGAACTACTCAAAGTCAACATATATGCGTCTCTACGTCCCCACTACCGCACTAAACGGCGGTGTTTCGTCCATGAAACTCCCTCTCGTTGTCTACTTCCACGGTGGAGGATTCATCAACGACAGCTATGACCACGAACCAGTCCACCACTTCTGCAACCTTATGGCGCTTAAGCTCAACGTGGTCGTCGCGTCAGCTTCGTACCGGCAAGCTCCCCAGTTTAAACTCCCGGCGGCGTACGATGACGGATTGTATGCTCTGAAATGGATTAAAAACTCACCCGACAAGGGGTGGATCAAATCTTACGCAGATCTTTCTGATGTGTTCCTCATGGGGACAAACTCCGGTGGTAACGTGGCTTACAACGTTGGAATTAGATTCACCGAAGAAGATCTAACTCCATTATGTATCCGTGGATTGATCTTACTCGATCCCTTCTTCGGCGGTGAAGAGCGGTGCGAGTCTGAGCTCAGACACGTGAACGATCAGGTTTTTCCGCCTGCTCTCACAGACCTTTGCTGGAAGCTTTGTCTCCCTGATGGAGCTGACCGAGATCACGAGTATTCGAATCCGAGAATGGGAGAGGGACCGGAGATAATGCAGGAAATGGCAGGGTTTAGATGGAAGGTGATGGTTACTGGAGAAGGAGGAGGTGCGATGATAGATAGGCAGAGAGATGTGGCGAATTTGATGAAGGAGAACGGAGTTTATGTGATTGAGCATTTTACCGACGGCGATGGTCACGGTGGTGATCCTAACAAGACTGAGACTATGTTTGCTTCCATAAAAAGTCTCATTTACTCTTCTCCACCAGTAGGGTTTGTTTTTTAAAAACTTCCATAAAATAAAGAGGCAGAGTCCAGCCCCATATCTTATGCCCATTTAAAGATCACCTTTATGTATTGGTTTGTGGAAAATGTATAAATAAGAATAATATTGGCAACCCAAAAGGCTCTCTCTCTTTTGGTTAGACATCTCTCGATTTTGTTTAAAAGTCTTAAATAACAGTTTATTTATGATTTTACTTAGTTGATCGTTCCAAATTTTTTTTTTTTTTTTGAATAATCCGGTGTATCCTGGCACCCACCAAAGTAAATCCAGACTAGCAGTGAATGTCCGTATCAGCCTACATTATCGGTCAGAGTACGTCTCGGTCACCAGACGTTGGGGGAACCCAGATTTTAAATTTTACCTTCAGTGACCAGCGGGCTTCGAACCCAGATCCATATTGATGAAAAAAGATTTATAATACTTATTCAGCATAATACAAAGAGTTTTGTTAAATAATAAATATGAATCTCATGAAATAGTTTAGAGTAATACAGTTATACTTAAATCCTTATAATATGTTCTTATTATTTATAATAACATGAGAGTTCTCCAATGTTCCACACTTGGACGAAACAAGGAAAATAGATGTTCGATTGGAGACCATTTACTTGTATAATGAGGTATAGGTTAATTGAAGGGTTTTGAAACTCTCTATAGTTTCACTACCACTACTGCGTTCTTGCTGTGACAAAATTTGCAACTTGTTTTCTTCTTATGAATAACTCAAGTGAAAATCTTTTGTTTTTTCAGTATCAGTTTTGTGTTATTTCAACTATAATGATGATAAAATTATTTATTCATCAGTTATACTTTCTTCTAGTGAATGATCTTTTATATATATCCATTTCAACTTTGGTCAAACAGTAACGGATCAGCAGAATGTTAGTCTATAGTTAGAGCACATCCAATGGTGTTACCCACCATTGGAGTCCTTAACATTAGATTAATATTTTTTGTTTTTTTTTTTGAATAGTTAAAGATTCTAATCACAAATGTTCCTCCAATGGTGTTTTCCATTATAGAATTCTTAGAAATAAAAAATTAATTAGTTTGTTAAATATTTAAATTTAAAATTTTTATTTATTGAATGATTAAATGTATGCATACAATAATTAAACATCTTCATCATTACTAAACTTGTTCCAAATATTTTCAATTAAATCATACTTCAGTTGTTCATGTATACTATCATGAACATGATTCCGTACGCCAAACATATCACGACAATAAATTAATTCTTGGTTGAATTATTAGAGTAACTTTAATTTATGCACATGAAATATTACAGTCTGTTGGTAATATAAAGATAAGTTATACAATATAATGTACTAAAAAGTATATAGCCTTGACAATATCTGATTAGAAATTTGATTATGATGAACCACCGAAACAAGATGGAAGAAATGTCTCATGAAGTGAAGATAAAATGTCTCAGATAGATAATTGGCTCAAGAGGCAAGTTTTAAACTGAAAATTACAGTCTACAAGTTTTTTGTGGCAAAACAAACAAAATAGGCATATTATCTAAGAAAACAAACCGAGAAATGCATCAAAAACTCTGCTACCCTCTTTGACTTTGAGCTCAACCGAATTTCAGTATAAGAATCCAAGAACCTTGCCACCAACATTCTTCCTCCTTAACTACTTAAACTACCATTTTGGATTTTTGGGGTTAATTCGATTTTTCAAAGTTTTTTGAGAGTTTTGGATTGAACATGACTCAAATTCACACTATTTATAATTCGGTTTTATTTCAGGTTTTACAAAAAGAATATAAATGAAAATTGAATCCAACATTACTCGAATTGAACTGATCCGGAAAACATTTGGTTCTTACATTGGTCCTAAACACCTAAACCAAAATAACTCAAAAAAATATAAATACAAACTCAATCTAACATTACTCAAACTAAACCAATCCAAAAAATGTACCGGTACCTAAACATCCAACCTAAATTACTATAAGACAACAATATAAATTACTTTTAATTAAAAGCGTCAAAATTCAAATATTAATTTTTTTTAAAAAAAATAAAATTATAGTAATTCCTAAATTAGAAAAATTAACCAAAAACTTATCCCGCGCTTTTAGAGCGCGGGTCAAAATCTAGTATATACTATTAAAATAGAAGTCATGACTTCTTTCATGTGTGATTTTTTTTTTAAAAAAATTTGGACCATCCTTAGAAAGTTATCAATTTTATCATAACTTAATCATAATATATTTAATATCTTTACTTTTTTTTTTGTTTTCTTCTTTTCTTCGTATGAATAACTCTAGAGGAGATTTTTTTTTTGTTTTTCCAATATCAGTTTTGTGTAATTTTAATTATAATGATGATAAATTTTCTTAATTATAGTTAAATTGCTATCAATTTCAATTTTGGTACAATAGTAAACGGATCAGTAGAATATTTGTGAAATTGATTTGATATAGAGGATGTGACATAATTGATCTTGCAAGATTGGGCTAGTCATTGAAAGGCAAAAATTACTTACCTATGGTTATGTATTTTTGCAACTTATCTATTCTTTTTAGTATAGTTAGTAATTTTTCTGTGTGTTTAAATTTAAAAAACACTATTCTAAAATTTAAATCTTTATTAATATGTTCCTCCTGATATATGATTTTGCCAAATTTCAAATTAAATTTGACATTGAGTTTTATGCGACTTCTCCACCAATGAAATAAAGAGACATGACAACGACTTGTGAACTCATAAAATATCTCTTGTTTTAGTGCACAAAAAGAGAAAGCACAGAAGACAAAGTTTTCTCCCCTCAAGAATGTCATTGTTGTTAGTTTTGTAGTTAGTTTCATTCTTTCTTTAGTTCAGTTACAATACAAGATTCCATCAGATAAATTGTGTTAAATCATTCATATTAGTCTCAGTCTTTCCCTAATTCAGTTACATTACAATAGTTCAATAAATTATTAAATTATAATTTTTATAAGTTGTATATTTTAAAAAAATTGAAAATATTATTTTGTTTATTTTTAAAAAATTGAAAATATTATTTTGTTTATATTTAAACATTAACCCACATAACACTAAACTTATATGTACATAATTCATTTTATTTTATTTAATGATTAAAATTGAGATTGTGTAATTTGGTTCAAATTAATTTTGATATTTTATATAATAGAAATGACTTATTATGTTCATTCAACTCATTTGATACTTGATAAAATACTTTCCAAATTTGTTAAAATGACCTGTAAAAACTATAATCATAAAATATCTACAATATTAATAACCCATTCTATCATATTATTATATATTAATATTATTTAATTCTAAATAATTATTTGGTCCAATAAACATATATTGATCGAATTCTTAATAATCTAACCATAAAAATGTCACTGTTACATATCTGATGAGAGTTTTGAAATAATTTTTTTCTTGCACTTTGGGTTAGAGCAATGATTATCTTTACTATGCAAAGTTATATCACTATTAATGTTTAAATTAATAAATAATATAAAATTGATTAGTTCATTAATTTTAGTGTTAATATAAATTTAATTGGTTAGTTCCAAAAATTAAAGAGACATGACAACGACTTGTGAACTCATAAAAGATCTCTTGTTTTAGTGCACAAAAAGAGAAAGCACAAAAGACTAAGTTATCCCCCCTCAACAATGTCATTGTTGTGAGTTTTGTAGTTAGTTTAATTCTTTCTTTAATTCAGTTACAATACAATATTCCATCAGATAAATTGTGTTAAATCATTCACATTAGTCTCATTATTTCCCTAATTCAGTTACATTACAATATTTCAATAAATTATTAAATTATAATTTTTATAAGTTGTATATTTTTAAAAAATTGAAAATATTATTTTGTTTTTATTTAAACATTAACCCACATAACACACTAAACTTATATGTACATAATTCATTTTATTTTATTTTATAATTAAAATTGAAATAGTGTAATTTGGTTCAAATTAATTTTGATATTTTATATAATAGAAATGACTTATTATGTTCATTCAACTCATTTGATACTTGATAAAATATTTTCCAAATTTGTTAAAATGACCTGTAAAAACTATAATCATAAAATATCTATAATATTAATAACCCATTCTATCATATTATTAAATATTAATATTAATTAACTCTAAATAATTACTTTGTCCAATAAACATATATTGATCAAATTCTTAATAATCCAACCATAAAAATGTCACTGTTACATATCTGATGAGAGTTTTGAAATAATTTTTTCTTGCACTTTGGGTTAGAGCAATGATTATCTTTATTATGCAAACTTATATCACTATTAATGTTTAAATTAACAAAATAATATAAAATTGATTAGTTCATTAATTTTAGTGTTAATATGAATTTAATTGGTTAGCTCCAAAAATTAAAGAGACATTACAACGACTTGTGAATCATAAAAGATCTCTTGTTTTAGTGCAAAAAAGAGAAAGCACATAAGACTAAGTTCTCTCCACTCAAGAATGTCATTGTTGTTAGTTTTTTAGTTAGTTTCAATCTTTCTTTAATTCAGTTACGATACAATATTTCATCAGATAAATTGTGTTAAATCATTCACATTAGTCTCATTCTTTCTCTAATTCAGTTACATTACAATATTTCAATAAATTATTAAATTCTAATTTTTATATTTAACATAAATTTAAAATAATATTTTGTTTATATTTAAACATTAACCCACATAACATGCTAAACTTATATGTACATAATTCATTTTATTTTATTTAATGATTAAAATTGAAATAGTGTAACTGGGTTCAAGTTAATTTTGATATTTTATGTATTAGAAATGACTTATTATGTTCATTCAACTCATTTGATACTTGATAAAATATTTTCCATATTTACTAAAATGACCTGTAAAAACTATAATCATAAAATGTCTATAATATTAATAAACAATTCTATCATGTTATTAAATATTAATATTAATTAATTCTAAATAATTATTTTGTCCAGTAAACATATGTTGATAAAATTCTTAATAATCTAACCATAAAAATGTCATTGTTACATATCTGATGAGAGTTTTGAAAGAATCTTTTCTTGCACTTTGGGTTAGAGCAAAGATTATCTTTATTATGCAAAGTTATATCACTATTAATGTTTATATTAATAAAAAATAAATAACTGATTAGTTCATTCATTTTAATGTTAATATAAATTTAATTGGTTAGTTCCAAAAATTAAAGAGACATGACAACGACTTGTGAACTCATAAAAGATCTCTTTTTTTGGTGCACAAAAAGAGAAAGCGCAGAAGACTAAGTTTTCTCCCCTCAACAATGTCATTGTCATTAGTTTTGTAGTTAGTTTTATTCTTTCTTTAATTCAATTACAATACAATATTCCATCAGATAAATTGTGTTAAATCATTCACATTAGTCTCATTATTTCTCTAATTCAGTTACATTACAATATTTCAATAAATTATTAAATTATAATTTTTATAAGTTGTATATTTTTAAAAAAATGAAAATATTATTTTGTTTTTATTTAAACATTAACCCACATAACACACTAAACTTATATGTACATAATTCATTTTATTTTATTTTATGATTAAAGTTGAAATAGTTGTTCAAATAAATTTTGATATTTTATATTATAGAAATGACTTATTATGTTCATTCAACTCATTTGATGCTTGATAAAATATTTTCCATAATTGTTAAAATGACCTGTAAAAACTATAATCATAAAATATCTATAATATTAATAACCCACTCTATCATATTATTAAATATTAATATTAGTTAATTCTAAATAATTATTTTTTCCAGTAATCATATGTTGATCAAATTCATACTAATCTAACCATAAAAATGTCATTGTTACATATCTGATGAGAGTTTTGAAAGAATGTTTTTCTTGCACTTTGGGTTAGAGCAATGATTATCTTTATTATGCAAAGTTATATCACTATCAATGTTTATATTAATAAATAATAATTGAAAGGTTTTGAATATAAATTGTATTCTCTTATTAGTTGTGTAAGGATTAAAATCATAAGATAATATTACAAATCATTACCTCGCAATTTATTGAAGAATTACAGATATAATGACGAATATACAAACAGAAAATATTATACTGTTTTGGTTAAAGAACATATGAGGTTATTTGCAGTGTTTTCTACTTCCAAATTCAGATCTATGACACTGAATTTCTCTTGATGATCAATCGACCCTCTCCATGGATCAATAACAGTCTGTTGATGACATAGATTGCATTTGACTCAACCACACAAAAATAGCATCATACACATTTATATCTAAAAAAGGTAATATGAATCGAAACTGGTATACAGATAATATGTTGTAATTCCTACATTGGAATAAATTGTAACCATAACTAAGTGAAAAGAAGTGTATGACTGCATAGTTTTGTTAAAACTCCATCATATATTTCTGTCATTTTATATATACTCTATTTGTATTCTTGGTCTATGACCATTACAGATTGTAACTTGGACAGTATACGAAGTTTAAGTATATATATATATATACAAACAGTAGCCTTATAGTAACGAATTATATATACCATCAGTAAAAGAAAAGTGTATATATATATTCATTGAACTCCAATAGTAACTATATATACGAAACGTAAAGAGAATGAATTACCTTTTGATGTAACCAGACGTTCTCTTCTAAAAGTTTACGCCCTGGCAATGTTATTGTTGTTGCTTCTGTACTTAGTTTCATTCTTTCTTTAATTCAGTTACACTAGTGCACAAAAAGAGAAAGCACAGAGAATTAAGTTTTCTCCTCTTACAATGTCATTGTCGCTGTTAGTCTCATTCTTTCTTTAATTCAGTTACACTAATGCACAAAAAGAGAAAAGATAGAGGACTAAGTTTTCTCCTCCTCGCAATGTCATTGTCGTTGGTTGTTCTATAGTTAGTCTCATTCTTTTTTTAGTTCAGTTACACTACAATATTTCATCAAGTAAATTGTATTAAATCATTCACATTAGTCTCATTATTTCTCCAGTTCAGTTACATTACAATATTTCATCAACTAAATTGTGTTAAATCATTCACATCAAATATAAAAATGATATCAGAGTTAACGCAAACTGTGATCTCTGTTCTGCTATTAGTTTGCATTTTAACAAAAACTAAACATTTTATTGACTGTAATTAATCTTGAAAAGAATTTTTTTCTCAAACCCAATTCCAATTCTTTTTATAATAATCACGAAAACAAAGAATTCATTTCGGTAACTTTCAGACCCACTAAACAAAGCATTACACTATTATTCAAGCTTTTCAAGCAAAAAAATGAAGAAGTCAATATTTACACGGTAATTCTAAATATAAGTTTTAGATATATTCTAGCTTTTCAAGATAAAAGTAAAATTCAAATATTTAATTACTAATATATTTATTGCCTATAAAAGGTGAACAAGGCTGAAGAATCAGTTTCATACAAGTACAACAACAAAAGACTTCGAATCCAAAAGACAACAACAGATATGTCCGAACCATCTCCAGTCCCTGATCCTTACGCTCTCATGGGCATCATAAAGAATCAAGATGGCTCCATCACTCGCGACCCCACCAGATTCCCCCGCGTCCCAGCCACACCTGATCCCTTCCCGCAAGTCATATCCAAAGACGTTCTCGTAAACCCCTCAAACTCAACATGGATGCGTCTCTACGTCCCCACTACCGCACTAAACGACAGCGTTTCGTCTAAAAAACTCCCTCTCGTTCTCTACTACCACGGCGGAGGATTCATCACATGCAGCTTCGACCTCAAACTCTTCCACGAGTTCTGCAACCGTCTGGCGCGTGAGTGCAACGTCGTCGTCGCGTCAGCTTCGTACCGTCTAGCTCCGGAGTTTAAACTCCCGGCGGCTTACGAGGACGGAGTCGACGCGCTTAAGTGCCTTAGAGACTCCCCCCACGAGTGGATCAAATCTTACGCCGATATTTCTAACGTGTTCCTCATGGGGACAAACTCTGGTGGGAACTTGGCCTACAACGTCGGGCTAGGATCCGCATTCGCGGATCTTAGCCCGTTACGTATATGTGGACTCATCTTACACGCACCGCTCTTCGGCGGCGAAGAGCGGTGCGAGTCTGAGCTCAGACACGTGGACCATCAGGTTTTTCCGCTTGCTCTCACGGACCTTTGCTGGAACCTTTGTCTCCCTGACGGAGAAAACCGCGATCACGAGTATTCGAATCCAACGGTGGGAGTTGGAGACGTTGGACCTGATGATGTTATGAGGAGAATCGAACGGTTGGGATGGAAGGTGATGGTGATTGGAGATGAAGATTTGCTGCTGATAGATAGGCAGAGAGATGTGGCGGATTTGTTTAAGAAGAAAGGAGTTGTTGTGGTGGAGCGTTTCACCGGCGACGACGGTGGTGCCGAGAGTACAACTCTGTTTGCTTCCATCAGAAACTTCATTTACTCCCCTCCACCGTTACGTTTTTCATTAAAGGAGGCTTATATTAACGGCCCAATAGCTTATGACCCTTAAAAGATACTAGCCCAATATCGCAGGCCCATTAATATTTAGCATAAACTATAAATATGAATAAAATTGGAGGCTCTCTCTGGTCTCTTGTCTCTTTTGGAACTCCATCATAGAGACAAAGAGCCAATATAGAACATTAGCTTGTTATTCCTAAAATATTATTGATTAATCTCTAGGAAGGGAAAATATGAAATGAAATTGGTACTGAGATCATATGTGCTAATTTTCTACATTTGAATAAATTATAAGCAAAACTATGGTGAAAGAAAATCTCACTTTTCTTTGAAATGGTTATATATACGAAACGTAAAGAGAGATGAATTACGTTTTGATGTAACCGGACGTTCTCTTCTAAAAATTGTTTTTTCCTGAAAGAAGCCATGTTATCTCACATTTATAGACAATGCTAATAAACAAAATCATATATATACACACATTATTAACATAACATATATATGCCATTGCAGCTTTGCTTTTAGCTTCTGATCCAACTGCTCCATGAACAATTGCGCCTATAAACATTCCAACTATTTTCATTTCCATGATAAAAAACACATACATAAATTACACATCAGTCTGGAACGATGTCGAAAATTATTGAGATATGTCGCTAAATCATTGCAAAAAAAAAAAAAAACCGTGTCCAAGGATTTATTTCTACATGAGGTTAATAACAAGATGATTGAAAAGGGAAAATATTCATTTCAACATGTATGTGTATATATATATTTGCATTGTGTCATCATCATATATACTAATATAGTGACGGCGATGTTCACAGTGCTGAGCTCGGTGATCCGTCGAAGAGTCAAACTCTGTTTGGTTCTATCCGAAACTTCATTTCATCTTCTGCCCGTAACGTTTATGAATAACTCAAGGGAAATCTTTTGTTTTTCCAATATCAGTTTTGTGTAATTTGAACTATAATGATGGTAAAATTATTAAATCATCATCAGTTATACATTATTTTTAGTGAATGATCTTTCATAGGGTATAATTACAGTTAAACTGCTATTCATTTTAACTTTGGTCAAACGGTAAACAGATCAGCAGAATGTTTTTGTGAAATTGATGTGATCTGGAGGATGTGACATATTTTATCTTGCAGGACTAGTCATTAAAAGACAAAATTTACTTACGTAACACTTATGTATTTTTGCAACTTATCTATTATTTTTGTAGCTGGTTATTCTTCTGTGTGTTTGAATTTATATACACAATTCTATACATGTGCGTAAATCTAACGCTTTATTATTATGGTTTTCTGATATATGATTCTGCCTAACTTCAAATTAGTTTTGACATTAAATATTCTGTGACTTCTTAACCAATAAAGAGATGTGACAACGACTTGTGAACCCATAATAAATCTCTGTAATTAGTCTCAGTCTTTCTTTAATTCAGTTACACTAGTGTACAAAAATAAAAAGCATAGAAGACAAAGTTTTCTCCCCTCTCGCAATGTCATTGTCGTTGGTTATATAGTTAGTCTCATTATTACTTTAATTCAGTTATACTACAATATTTCATCACGTAAATTGTCTTAAATCATTCATTAGTCTCACTCTTTCTCCATTTCAGTTATATTAGAATATTTCATCAAGTAAATTGTGTTAAAACATTCACATCAAATATAAAAATGATATCAGTGCTAACGCAAACTATGATTTGTTAGTTGGCATTTTAACAAAAAGTAAACATTTCATTGACTGTAATAACATTCAAAAGAATTTTCTCTCAACCCAACTCCAACTTTTATAATATAATTACGAAAACAAATAGTTCATTTCGGTAACTTTCGGACCCACTAAACAACGTATTAGACTATTATTCTAGCTTTTCAAGCAAATAAAGAGAAGTCAATGTTTACACGGTAATTCTAAATATAAATTTTAGATACATCATATATTCAAGCTTTTCAAGATAAAATAAATTCAAATATTTAAATACTAATTTATTAGGTGTTTTATCCGTATATGCGGGTATAATTTTCTTACAGTTACTTATTATTTTATATTTTACTAAATCAAAAACAATATAAGAAATTATGATTTATGTTTTCAAATTGATTGTAAATGACAACACTCACATAGCAGAATACTTTCAAAACATATATTTATATAAATATTTTGCTTGACTTATATTTAATTATATTTTTTTTATATCTTAATTTTTAATTTCTGTAATAAAAATAGATTTTCAAGGAAAAAATATAATACATAATAAGTATGTTATTTTATAAAAAAAATAATATCATTAATAGAAATTTGTTTCTATTATATAATAAATTATAAAATTTAAAAACATGAAAAATAAACAAAACTTCATAAGTATGGAGAAGTCACAAATCAGCAATTCACTTAAATTCTATAATAGAAAATATATTTTCAAAATAATACTCTAATACATAAGAATTATCTTATTTTCTAAAAATGTAAGATTAAATTAAGTTTATTTATAATAAATTATATATGAAATTGTTTGAAAATTGATAAATAATAAAAATTACCTAAAACCATGGAAAATTGACAAATCAGCATTGTTTAATTTATATTTAATTATAATTTTATCTTAATTTTTAATTTTTTAATTTCTATAATAGACAACTTTCTGGAGGAACCTGTGACACCTGCACGGATGTAGATTTTCAAGATAATTATATACTAATACATAAAAATTATCTTATTTTCTAGAAGTATAATATTATTATTATATATTTTTATTCTATAATATATACATATGAAATTATTAAAGCATGACAAAAAATGCAAATTAGCTTACAATCATAGAAGTTTCAAATCAATCAACAAATTCACTTAAATTTAATAATTGAAAAAAATATTTTCTCGATAACAATATAATATACAAGAATCAAGATATTTTCTAAAATATAATATTAATAATTTTACAATAGAAAATATATTTTCAAGATAACAATCTAATATAAAAGAATCAACTTATTTTTTAAAATATAGTTCATTTTATTATACATAAAATTATTAAAATAGGACAAATAAGTAAAATTATCTAAAATCATGGAGAAGTTAACAACTAAGCAAATTTAATTTTCAAATAATAGTATAGATTATAATTTTTATATCTTAATTTTTAATTTCTACAATATAAAATATATTTTCAAGATAACAATATAATAAATAAGAAGTATCTTGTTTTCTAAAAATATAATATTATTAATAGAAATTTGTTTCTATAATATAATAAATTATATTTGAAATTATTGAAAACATGACAAAGAAACAAAACTACATAATTGTTGAGAAGTTATAAATTAGCAAATTCCCTTAAATTCTATAATAAAAAATATATTTTTAAGATAAAAATCTAATACATAATAATTATCTTATTTTCTAAAATTTTAATACTAAATTAATTTCATTTATAATAAATTATTTATGAAATTATTAAAAATAACAAATAAGACAAATCACCTAAAACCATGGAGAAATTGATGTTGCCTGATTTATATTTAATTATAATTTTTATATTTTAATTTTTAATTTCTCTAATAGTAAATCGATTTTCAAGATAATAATATAATACATAAGAGTTATCTTATTTTGTAAAAGTAAAATATTATTATTATGTATTTGTTTATTATATTATAAATAAATATGATATTATTAAAAACATGAAAAATAAGAAAATTACCTTTCAATCACAAAGAAGTTACAAATCAATCAACAAATTCACTTAAATTTAATAATAGAAAATATATTTTAAGAAAACAATCTTTTTTTAACACAGATAACAATCTAATATAAAAGAATCAACTTATTTTCTAAAGATATGATTTTATTATTTTTAATAGAATAATATATTTTCAAGATAACAATCTAATATAAAAGAATCAACTTATTTTCTAAAAATATAATTTTATTAATATAATTCGTTTTTGTTATATATGAAATTATTAAAATATGAAAAATAAGTAAAAAAAAATATTTAAAATTATGGAGAATATGACAACTAAGCAAACTCTTAATAATAGTATAGATTATTGCCTATAAAACTAAGACAAAGACTGAAGAATCAGTTTCATACAACAAAAAAAAAAACAGAAGACTTATTAACCCAAAAAGACAACATATATGTCTGAATCATCTCCAGACTCAGATCCTTACGCTCTCATAGGCATCATAAAGAACCCAAATGGCTCCATCACTCGCGACCCCACAAGAATCCCTTCCGCCCCCGCCACACCTGAACCATCCCCACAAAACCCCGTTGTATCCAAAGACATCATCGTAAGCCAAACAAACTCCACGTGGATGCGTCTCTACGTCCCAAGTACCAACCTACTACGTTCATCTCAAAAGCTCACTCTCCTTCTCTACTTTCACGCTGGAGGTTTCATCACATGCAGCGTCGACTTTCAACTCTTCCACGACTTCTGCAACCTTATGGCGCATGAGCTCAACGTGGTCGTCGCGTCAGCTTCTTACCGTCTAGCTCCCGAGTTTAAACTCCCCGCGGCTTACGACGACGGAGAGGACGCGCTTGAGTGGCTAAGAAACTCCAAAGACGCGTGGATCAACTCTCATGCAGATCTCTCTAACGTGTACATCATGGGGTCAAACGCTGGTGGTAACTTGGCTTACAACGTCGGGATTAGATACGTTTTCGCTGATCTGAGGCCGTTGAGTATCCGTGGGTTGATCTTACATCATCCGTTCTTCGGAGGCGAGTCTGAGCTTAGACACGTGAACGTGAACGATCAGGCAGTTGGAGAGCTTTGCTGGAAGCTTTGTCTACCTGTGGGAGCTAACCGGGATCATGAGTATTCGAATCCGACCGTGAGAGATGAACCGGAGATAATGAAGGCAATAGGACGGTCGGGATGGAAGGTGATGGTGATGGTGAGTGGAGGTAGGCAGAGAGATGTGGCAAAGTTGATGAATGAGAAGGGAGTTGATATGGTTGAGGCTGTTCAAGGTGATCTTAACAATCCTGAAACTATGTTTGCTTCCATCAGAAAGCTTATAGTAGAGGCCAGCCCAATATAGATTACTTTTATGTATTGGTTTGTGGAAAAATTATAAATAAGCAAAAAATATTAGAGGCTCAAGAGTATTGTAAAAATCCATAAATAAAGATGAATATTGGATGCTCTCTTTTGTTAGACATGGACATTTCTATATATACTTTAATGTTGTGAAATGCATATTTAGTGGTTTAAATAGTGATTTTACTCAGGTGATCTGGTTTCAAGTTATAGAGAAAGCAAATTATACAGATTAATAATAGAAAAAAGATTTATAATGTGTGGTGGTGGTGGCAGAGGCCTGAGATGGTGAAAACTCTACACCAATGATCAAAACTCCTATAGTTTCACTACTACTACTACTGCTTTCTTGCTGTGGCAAAATCTAGTATGTGTGTTTTTTTTGTTTTTCCTTCCCTATGAACAACTCAAAGGGGAAGCTCTTTTGTTACCCCCTATCGATTTTGTGTTATTTGAATAATAGTGAGGATAAAATTATTAAATCACGAGTTACACTTTCTTCATAAGTGAATGATCTATCTTAAGCCATAATTGTACTTGGACTATCCGTTTCAATTGTAAAATGGTAAAGTGATTAGCAGAATGCATGTCAAATTCAGTAAAGTGAGGTGAACATAATTTATCTGGCAAGTTTGAACTAGTCATAGAAAACAAAAAGTGACGTACGTTTATGTATTTTTGCAACTTCTCTATTCTTTTTAGTACAGCTCGTAATTCGTCTGTTACTTGACTTTAGAAACACAACTTTACATATGTGTATGTCTAAGGCTTTTAATTATAGTACATGAACGTTTTATTTTCTTTATGTTTGCCCGATATATGATTTGCCAAACGTTTTTGTGCATTACTTCTCAACCAACGAAAGAGACGTGACAGCGACTTGTGAACCAAGAAGGGAGTTGATGTGGTGGAGCGTTTCGCCGACGACGGTGTTCACGGTGGTGCCGAGCTCGGAGATCCGTCCAAGAGTACAACTCTGTTTGCTTCCATCAGAAATTTCATTTCCTTTAAAATCCATGCCAATAAAGGTGTTGGAGGCCTAAGAGCGATGACCCTTAAAGAATGAAGTGTTTAGACTAGCCCAATATCTTAGGCCCATTGACATATTACCTTTATGATATTGGTTTGGGTAAAAACTATAGATATGACTAATGTTGGAGGATCTCTCTTGTCTTAGCCCATCTCTCGACTCTTGCTTTCTCTTTTGGAACTTTTCCAGTCTCCAGATATAAAACATTCGCTTATATATTACCCCTAAAATATTATATTATGATTAGTCGTTTTTAACATCTATTCTATTAAAACAAAGTCATTCTTTTTATCTACTAATACAAGTTGTCATTTAAATTTGAACCCTTTCTAGAATGTTATAAATAATATAAGTCATATAATTGATTGAACCGTATTATTTAAATTAAACCAACACAATTAATGTAAAAAGACGATCTTAATATAAACTACCTTCAAAATACGGCAGATATCTATGTGTATACCAAAACACATATTTTCTCCTACAAATATGGAATGTTTAAAAATAATATATATCATCAAAATATGGAATATGGAAATCTACTAATTATACTTAAATTAAACCAGTGGTTATTTATGGAATATAATCTTGGGCTTACTTTTATTTTTTGAAGAAATTATATAGTTTGGTTTTTGGGCTTAATAATATTAAGAAAAAACTCCAAAAAACATTGAATAAACTTTTCACCTTAAAATATCAAAAAATCAATTATTATTTTCAGACCCAAAAGATATTTAATATTTTTAGCAAAACAAAATTATCTATTATTAATCATTTATTTAAATCATGTACTTTAAAACATGTTAATTTATTTTTTTATTTTAAATAACAATCACTTTGTTTTGATAAATTTCAATTGTAACTTTTAAATAATTTATTGTTTTATTTTTCTTAAATAATTTACTGATTAATAAATGTAAAGCAAAACCAAAAACCAAATCTAAAAACTAAAATCCAAAACCAAAAACTGAAAACACATATTATATTTTTTTTGCTTTGTCTATTTACAATATAAACTATTTCATTTTTTAAATTTTTTTTCATCTTTTCAGTTTTAAATTAGATGTTCGATTATTTGAGATTTGTTTGTTGGTAATATCAGTTCAAACTAACTCAGCGGGTTTAAAAATTAAAAACCCAAACCAAAAACTGAAAATGAAAAGTAGAAACTTAAAAACTAAAAACCAAAAACCAAAATCTAAAAATAAAAAGTGAAACTAAAAACTAATGAAAAACAATCATCACCATAAATTTTGGTGAACTGATTTTATATCAAAATATTCTTTAAATTAAAACAAAACCTAATTATATAAATTTTTAATCATAAAAAATTTTCGGCTTTTAAGCGCGGGTTAAAATCTAGTTATACATCTTAAAGTCAGGCCTGCATAGACATTATGTTCCATACTTTGACGAATAAGGGCATACAGATGCTCCTTTGGAGACCATTTACCGGTATAATATGAGCTATAGGCTAATTGAAGGGTTTTGAATATAGATTGCATTCTCTTATTAGTTGTGTAAGGATTAAAATCATAAGATAATATTACAAATCTTTACCTCGCAATTTATTGAAGAATTTTACAGACTTGATGATGAATATACTGTTTTCGTGAAACAACATATAAGATAATCTTAGTTGCAGTGTTTCTCTGGCAAGCCGATGGCTACATCAGTTTCTACTTCCAAATTCAGATCTATGACTCTGAATTTCTCTTGCTGATCAATCGACTCTCTCCATGGATCTATAACAGTCTGGTCATAACATAGATTGCATTTGAGTCAACCACACAATGGTGCTTCATATATATTTATAATTAATCTCTCGAAAGGGAAAATGTGAAATGAAATTGGTACTGAGATCATATGTTCTAATTTTCTACATTTGAATAAATTGTAAGCAAAACTAGGTGAAAAATACCCCCTTCTCAAAAAAAAAAGGGTGAAAAATCTTACTTTTCGTTGAAATGGTTATAAATACGAAACGTAAAAGAGATGAATTACCTTTTGATGTAACCGGACGTTCTCTTCTAACAATTGTTTCTCCTGAAATGAAAATGTTACATTTATAGACAATGCTAATAAATGAAAATATAACACACACATTATTAACATAACATATGGCGTTGCACCTTTGCTTTTAACATCTCCAACTGCTCCCTGAACAATTGCGCCTATAAACATTCCAACTATTTTCATTTCCATGATAAAAACACTAATATAGAAATTACACATAAGCCTGGAACGATGTTGATAAAGTTATTGAGACATGTGGCTAAATCACAGCAAAAAAATTCCGTGTCCAAGTTGTTATTTGTAAATGAGGTTAATAACTACACGGTTGATACGGAAAAATATATTCATTTCAACATGCATGTATATATATATTTGCATTGTAGCATCATCATATATATGCCAATGTAGTGATGAAAACATACCTTTCTTGCTCGGACCTTGGCCAAACTTCTTTGGAGTTGACTATCAATTTCTTGGAGCTCTTCTAGAGAACTAGAAGCAAGTTCTTGACCAAGTAGCTTCCTATACACACGCAAAAGGGAGTGTATGACTGCATAATTATGTTAAAGCTCCATTATAGCTCTTTTATTTGATATGGAAACTATTTTTAGTTCTATCTTCCACCACTGCAGATTGTAACTTGCACAGTATACTAAGTTTATATATATATATATATATATATATATATATATATATATATATATATATATATATAAATTTTAGACCAATTGTAAAATATGCTACCATCAGTTAAAACTCAAAACTATATATATATTCATTCAACTCCAATACTAGTTATATATTGGCATTTATTAACTATCAAATCTTCAATTCCGCCAACAAGATAACTAGGTTTCGGTTGTTTCTAATAAAGTTATATTGCGTTAGTGTATACTCTTATTATTTTATATCTTACAGTTTCTATACTCATAAATTTTTTTTTTTTTGTAGCTATAAACCACATACATTAAACTTATACGGAAAGGATTTCCTTCTCTATGTTTGCATTTGGTGCCCAAGTTTATAATGGGTTCATTAAGAAACTTTTGTGCGCAAACAAGAAAAATACCTTTATGATGTAAACGAAAATATTAATAGCATTACAAGTGAAATAAACAATCAAAAAGGTGGCAACAATAAGGAAAAAGAAAGGCTAAGACATGATACCTCTTTTGAAATTCAAGGAGTTCAATCTTTGTGATCATGTGGCTAGCTTCTTCCTCCAATCGCTACATAACGCCAACGATATGAAACCATAGGACGTTATAGAAGTAAACAACATCAAAATATAATTTTTTTTTATTTACGGTCAATATAAACTGTTTAACAATTAAGTTTTAAACTGTTGAACAATCTTTGTCCCATCGATCCTATATATGTACACACTGTTGAACATATCATCATTTAAAGTCACATCAATTGTTCTACATTGTACGAAGTGCTGATATATATCACAAGATTTGGTTTTAGTAAGCTATGAGAAGTAAAAATCAAAAATCAAAATCATGAACCATTTAAATAAATATCTATGACATATATATAGACCAAAATAGTTTGGTAACAAACCTGGACGTAGATTTCTGAGTCATGGTTGCTGGTTTCATGATCTTTTGTGTACTTGCGGTAACGTTCGATCGTCTTCCACGTGCTGATGATCAAACAGACAAATTAAAATCTATATCTTTATATCTCGTTTAGAAAACGATATATGTAATTAAATCTATTATATCTGAGATTTAAATATAGGGCGTGCATCTTCTAGCAACAAAGTATTAAAATGTAGTTTATTTGATCTTAAGTAAGATTCACCTCCGTATCTCTCAAAGTTGTACATACTACAATGTCTTTTGACTGCTGGTTAATAGCATCTATATAGGTAACTATAAACCATCATATAGGTAACTATAAACCCATCCATACGACTTCACCATCCCTTTTCTTATAATTCTACATCGATTAACACATTTTTTTTACAATTTTTGCCCAAGATCAAATAATTGAATCTAGAACCACTAATCTATTTAAAAACTATAATTAACAACATCTGCTAGCATAGAGAAAAACAACCACGTTCAACGTTATACATATACTTGGATATATTATAGCACAAGCTTTGATTGGTTTCTTCTTAGATGTATAATTAAGTATTAGTCCAAGAAATACATGACATATATATATAGACATGGGGAATAAATATGTATAAACTGCACATCTGAATCAAATGAAGAAGAACACACATAATTAGTCATATGGCTATAAAAGTGGAGCCCAAATAAAGATATAACGAAAACCAAAACTATAGTACACAACCTAATAGGGGCAAGAAAAAAATAAAGCATATTTGTATTTTCAATATATATATGGATGAGTAAAAAATTGTGCAAGTTGGTACGGATATCACACTAAATAATCATCTAAATTATAGTCTTAGTCCATGTAGAGCTAGTTCCAATGTTGTTTTATGTTCATACTTTCAATAAAATTTTGGAAACCCTAGACACCCACACATACACACTATATAGTTAATTAGATAAAAAGTTCAGGTAGATCAGAAAATGTGAGTTTGTCTATTTCTCAACAAATTTTATTATGATTATTATATATATAGAAAGTGAAATCATATTATTATAGGAAGAGAAGAAATAAATCTTTAGGCTTCAGACAAGGATCGAATCTCAGCAAGTAACAAATCTAAGATAGTAGCTTTATTCAATATACGATTCAGAAAAATTCAGACCAGACACATAACCTAAAAAGCCTAATTAACCAAATAAAAAGTACAGAAATAGTAAAGAAAAGTAAATTCAAGGATAAAGAAGACATACTCAGTGTTGGAAAATTCGTAAAGCCTTCCTCTCTGAGAGAATACTATGAGAGAAACTTGAGCATCGCAGAGTACTGAGAGCTCATAAGCTTTCTTTAACAAACCATTTCTTCTTTTTGAGAAAGTCACTTGCCTACTCGTAGCGTTTTCTATTTTCTTCATCTCTATCTTTCCTCTCACCATTTTTCTCCTTTTGACTTTTTCTTTTTGTTCCTGGCACAAGATCTGTAAAGATTGGAACCCTAAACCAGCCAGTGACCCGATAACATAACCAGAGCCATAAAAGAGAAAGATTTAGAGAGAGAAGGATCTCACTGGAGAGAAAAAAGATTAAGTGTCGGCGGAGAAATGAAGAAGAGATAAGCTAGTAGCTAGTGAAGAAAAACTTTAAAGATATGTACATAAATTAAAGGAAGACATCAAAGTTGAGGAGGAGAAGAAAGAGCTGAAACTCAACAATATGGAAAGAGAAAAGGGAAAACTGGGAACTTTTAGGAACCCTAGAATGATCTGTGAGGCAAGGAAGGGCAAGTTTCTTAATGATTTACTAATTTCTTTTGGTATGGGTCACACAATGAATTGGTGATATAATTATTTTTATTTTTATTCTTGATAATAATAAAATTGTCCGTTATGTATTGAATATTTCGATTCCTGTCCATATCTTTTCCTCACCACATAATTAGATGCCAAAAAAAAGAAACAGGATAAGTCTTGGTTTCTTTCATCTGTCTGTAAAACTACCAGATTTTCTTTAAATAATTCATATTATTGTTGTGAACCAGTTATAGTGTTTCAACTTTTGATAAAACAATTAAGAAAGACAAGCCTTTTTCAAAAAAAAAAAAAACAATTAAGAAAGACAATGGAGGCATGTTCAAAATGTTATATTAGACTAATGCCCGTACGAAATAAACTATAAAATATAGTAAGCATTAGGAAAGATCCATATGGCTTGTGCCTTATAGTCGACGAGAAAAACATATTCATCACCATGTTTTGGTAAAATTTAACTAGCAAACAAAGACAAATATTTTTCCCAAAGAAAAAAAAAAGACAAATATCTGAAAGTCACTAAAATAGGAAATTTTGGGAGAGAGAATCAGAGAAAGAGTGAAGAGATGTGAGCAATATTTAAAATAGAAAAAAAAAACTGTGTGTTTGAACTTTTTACTACAGTATGTCATGTCATGGTTAAAAGAACAAAACACTTGTATATATGACCCCAAAATAATTCTTAAATATATACTACTAAATGGTGTTCCCACTCTAATTATAGTGTCACGATCGCACAAACATAGTTTTTTATAAGGAAATTGCAACTATTGTAAAATTATTTTCAAAATTTATAAAAAACTTAAAAAAATCTAATTTCTTGGAATAATAATATATTACTCCCTCTGTTTCAAAATAAGTGTCACTCTAAGCTCGTGCACACGGATTAAGGAAATAATTAATTTTGCAGATTTTCTATATAAAAACACAATTACCCATACACCTAACCATATTTCAACCAATAGAAAAATAAATTACATAATAAAGTTAATAAATTTTGCCTTGAAAACCGAAAACGACACTTATTTTGTGACGAAAAATTTTCTCCACAACGACACTTATTATAAAACGGAGGGAGTATTATGAAAACACGAGAAAAACAATGTTTGATCACCTCTTAACCCATCTTCCAATTCCACCATCTTACAGACATCTTCTTTTGTTTGTTAATCCAAGATATCCGGGTAAACCAAGGTTCAACCAACTAAAAACATGTTTATTAGGAATTTTTAGGATAGAATTTTTAACTCATGATTTGATATATTTTTTTTTTCTACATTTTTTTGGTTAAAAACTAGTTCTTAAATAAAAATTTTAAGAAAGAATTCTTAATTTTTCTTAGTTAAAATTAAGAGACGATTCTTATATTCTACTAAGAACTCCATCCTAAAAATCTTGCTATAAACATGGCATAATATGTTAGAGATCTGTTAATCAGTGCAAGTGCAAGATAGACTCGGGAATTCTAAATAGGAATTAGATACCAATATTGTTTGACTACACAATTTGGTAAAATCTGAATTTAATAAATTTCAAAGCCGGGATGCTTACCATTTTTTTGAAACCCGCCTTATCATTTGACATCACTTGTGTGGTTAGGTTCTACCTTCTAAAATCTACTTCAGTTATATGCCTTATTTCCTTTCGGTGAGGTACAATTCCTTGTGGTTCTTTCTTTTCTCACATCGTCTGGTGTCTAATCTGCTTTGTTCTTTCTTTTGTTTTTGATGTGGTGCGCATGTAAATGCTGACAATATCATCATTAATCAACATAATTTTTACTTGTTATACTTAATAACGTCAAAAACTCATGTTTTAAAAATTAGGCGGTTTAGGTGTTAGATGCCACTTATCCTTTCTGATTATACCAAATCGAACTGAAAAATCTAATGTCCAATTTTAGTCTATCTAGATTGTCTAGGTGATCGCCTAATCGTCTAAACAACCGTCTGATTTATTTTTTATTTTTTTAAAAATAATTACATATATATTTATTTGATTTAAAATATTATAAGTATAATTTATTTGCATAATTTAACAGAATTTTTACTTGTTATACTTAATAACATCAAAAACTTATGTTTTAAAATTAGGCGGTTTAGGTGTTAGATACCACTTATCCTCCCTGATTTATACCAAATCGATCTGAAAAATCTAATGTCCAATTTTAGTCTATCTAGACTGTCTAGATGATCGCCTAATCGTCTAAACAACTGTCTGATTTATTTTTTAATTTTTTAAAAATAATTACATATGTATTTATTTGATTTAAAATATTATAAGTATAATTTATTTGCATAATTTTAATAAAAATTCTATTTATTAATATTATATATGTGGGTTTTATACAATTTTAAACATGAAAATATATTAATTTTATAAAAAAAATTAACATGTTTTATAACATATTAATGGCTAGTATAGTTCCAAACAGGGTCCAAAACCAATGCCAATCTCTTCAAAATACGACTTTTGAGCATAAGTTTTTAATTCTTATCTTTTTAGTGTTGGGGGACCCCTAAAATTATGGATAACTGGGTGAGAATTCTTTAGATTTACTAAAAAGGTACTAAAATGTGTGAAACTTTTTCTTTTTCTTTTTCTTTTTGATTTCTATGGGTGAACTCAGACAAGTAATTTTATAAATCAGTGTATTATACATGGGTGTATATTAAAAACAGCAACATCAATGTTGATAAGAAATCAATTCAAAACTTCCATAAAAAAAACTTGTCCAACGACTTTAACTTGTACATGGAAAATTACATGTATCAGAAACGCATAATGCTTTGAATTATTCTTATTAAATATTGAAACGAAAATGATATTCTTGACCATGGTATGATCACTATGTGTGGAGCTGCGACTTGTCTCCATCTCAATTGTTATGTTATGGTTTAAGAAAATTAGTACATTTTTCTCTTTCTATTATTATTAGTTGTAGGACAATAATAGAAGAAAAACAGTATCAAAGGAGCAGCACGCCAGAAAGAAACAGTATCAAAATGGTCATCAACATCATCGTACAAATGTCAGTGCTTTGTCACGTGTGAGCAACAGTTTAAATGCTACAATGGAGCTGTTGAATTTTACCCAAAACACAGGTGGATTAAGTTAAATGTTTTCAACGGTCGAAAAAACTGAAATGGGTCCAAGATTACCACATAGCAAAATTTGAGAGGAGATGATGTTAGATAGAACCCACATGCGCTATCTCTATGTTTTATTTTGTCCACAGAGAATAATTGAACTTGAATAATTTAGAGAAAAAAATTACACAAGTTTAATCCACCAATAAAACATATAGACACAGCACAAAAAAAATATTTTGGGAAAAACTACTTTGAGAAAAAATATACCAAATTTAGTATTTTTAATTATCTATAAATAGAAACTAATCTCACTTTATTTGAATATATAAAACAAAATGACATTTTTACTATATTTTAATTAGCTTATTATTAATTATTTTCTGTGTTTTAATTTATACTTTGTTAAATGGATTCCATTGAATATTTATAACGTTTTTATTTTTTATTTTAACAACCCAAATCTTACCAATTATCCAATAAAAACTATTTTATCCCTAAATATCAATTTTAAAACTGATTTCTATTTTTTAAATATGAGATTTTATTTTTAAGTATATATATATAGTCTTAAACATAATTTTTCTAAAATGATATCTTTTATCTTTATTTTATGTTTAAATTAATCTAAATTAAAATTAAAATATTGGTAAGAAAATAATAAAATAAAAATATTAACAACTTTTTTAAAAAAGTATATTAAATTTATATGTCACATATTGGAAAAAATCATTCTTGTGTCTATCTAATATAATTATACAATTTTTATTACTAAATAGTTCTTTTAAAACTTTTATGCAATTTTTTTTCTTAAAATATATATATATATATATATATATAATATATTTATGATTATATCATTTTTCCTTTTTGTATTTAAATTTTTTTAAGGAAAAAATATTTAGTTTACTTTTTGATAATTATACATTTTTTACATCTAAATTGTTTTTCTTAATTTTATAAAAGTTGATAGGATATTGATATGTTGTGTTTTTGACATGATACACACATACTTTGCATATCATACTTATGCTTTCCTGGGGTGTTCTTAGTGTGTTTTGAGTTATTTCAGGTGTAGAACGAGTTGGAATGCACCAGAAGAGCATATGGAAGAAAGAATGCAAAAACCAGAGTTTTCCATCGCAGAGCATCCGAACGGAGCAACCCTCTGTCTGCTCCCTCTATCGCGGAGCAAACACCCCTTTGCTCCCGTCCTTGCCTCTGATCTATTTCGAGAAAGATTCAAAAAGCACTCTCTCTCTACCCTAGCAGGCGCGGTCCCTCCAATAAAATATCCCTGGCCGCCTCCACTCAAAAACAGACAGAGAGTTTTACTTGTTTTTACACAAGAAACTATTTTTGAGACTTTTTGTTGAAGATTTGTTCTAGCTATTTTGTAAGGGCCAAGGCTTCCTCCTCTTGGTTTCTAGAGAAGAAATCCCTGAACCCTCTTTTTACCTTGATTTATCTAATGCATTATTCAATCATGATTTGTGTGTTCTTTTGTGCCATGATTTAGTAGTCAATTTGTTAACCTAG